ACTGGCAGCACCTGGTCTACAGGTGAGGAACCCTGAACTTGAGACACCACAGGTGACTGAGTGGGACCACTGGCAGCACCTGGTCTACAGGTGAGAAACCCTGAACTTGAGACACCACAGCTGACTGAGTGGGATCACTGGCAGCACCTGGTCTACAGCACAGGGCCTCTGACTTACTTCTGTTCTTCAAGGAGCTCCCCTGTCCCTTAAAGAACGAGAATTAGGAAATACCCCCACCCTCAGCTAAGTACTTACTCAGTGGAGGACAAAGATGATTCCACATGATATAAGCAGTTTAGTGTAGAAACCACAGAAATTCAGAAATCCAAATCACTTATGAGAAATGGGGAGCTCCCAGGCCCCCAAATTCTGACTTTGGTAGAAAGGGTCCAAAAGGCCTAGGAGTGTGGGCATGTACTGGAGCAAATGAGCAGAGGGAAGGACCACAAGCATCTCCCAGTTTGAGAAGCAAACGAAATTAAGCTCACCTCTGGGAGGCTTCAGAAAGTTCATGGAAAAGTAGACTTTAAAGCTAATGGAATTTTTCTAGGAACATTTTGACACTGTCTCGGATTTATAAATACCACAGAGCACATGATAAAAATGCACTCCTTCAGGAACACTTAACCAAGGAGAACTGACAATGCAAAGCCCAGTGGGAGCCCCAAGCCGATCAGCTGTAGCTCCTCCCCAAAGGAGTTCCTGAGGATGGCATCTAACTCTCGGTGCCTTGGCTTCCTGTCTGCAGTGCCTCTGCCTGGGACAAGGCTGGTTTGGATCATACAGGGCCAACAACACAAGATCGGTAAGGCCGTCAACATGCTCAACGGCAGGCTCAAGACTGAAGGAGAGCAAGGAAGCAGATGCAGAGATGCATGCACAGCCCCACAGTCCAGGCCACAACTGTGACAAGAAAGTGTTAAGAAAGGTCCAGGGGCTTCTGATGACCACTATGCCCAGGGATCCATGGGTACATGAGCTTACAAAGCAAAACTATTCTCAGGGTGAGACGTCAAAGCAGAGGACTTTTGGTCCTTCACATCCTTCGGCCACACCGTCCCCTATGCCCGTCAAGCAGAGGCTGGGCCTACTCAGCTCAGGGTACTGCTTGTTGAAGGGGATGCCAACATCCAGGGCAGCATGGACAGCCAGGAGTTTGAAAGCCCACAGGATCAAAAGGAGACAGAGTGGCTGATGGCCCCGAGGATCACAAAGCGAACACTGCTGCCAACCCCAGAGAAAGTGTCTGCACAGTGGATAGCACACTAGCTGTTCAAGAGAAGATAAGCCTGAGAGGGCAGAATTCTACAGAAGGTCTGCCAGAAAAAGAAAGGGGAGCCAAGGAGGGGTACAGAAATGGGCCTGAACTCTGTGGATGAGGGCTTTAACGCTCAAGAACAGGGAGGTGCCCTCACAAGACAGGAATGCCACCATCAGTCCACACTTGTGTCCTGGGCACCCGCACTTTGTGCTCCTGGCCTTTTCAGATGGGACCCCCAGGGGGTTCCTCTGAGAGAAGCAGCAGCCCTTCTCCAGACTGTGGCATCTGGAGACTCCTGTGCATCTGAGTTCATGCCTAACTCAGAGCATGAGACCATGCAGGGATTTTAAGGACATAATAGAGAGTTAGGAAGAAAGGAAGAAGAGAGACCTGGGGAAGGGTGGAAAAAGGGAGGAAGGGAAGGAATCAAAGAAGAGGAGATGGTCACTGTAAGCAATAGTATACAGAGCAAAAATAGACAAGCCATCTAAACGTTCAATTTAAAAGTCATGATGAATCCGATAATAGCGAACCTGCTCAGCAAGATCATGAAATCATTCAAGAAGAATTCATCAAGCCTTAGGTAGCACAAGGAAATGATTCCAACATTAAGCAAAATAAAGCAGGATAAACAATTCTGTTCAGCAATAAATTAACTACCTAAAGCAGGTATATTGACAAAGATTATATATTAAAATGGGGTGCTCTTGGTTGACTCTTAACTCTTGTACAAAATGTTGATTTATTTATTTAGTTAACTGTGATTTGGGTGAAAGTTTACAGAGCAAACTGGTTTTCCATTCACAATTCATATACATTTTGTTCTGTAACAAATGTTAACAGTGCTCTTCCCATTTCCTCTCAAAATGCTATAATACGGTTCAAATAAAACAGTCTATTCTTTGACATGACTGAAACAGAAAATCTCAAAATCTACAAAAGAACTACCAGTGACTTTGTTGTTGTTAAGTGCTATGGAGTTGGTTCCGACTCATAGCAACCCTATAAAGGGTTTCCAAGGAGCGGCTGTTAAGTTTGAATTGCCAACCTTTACATTTAAACTGAACTTGCTTATCCTACAAGCGCCTAGCAATGTTTATTGCTAAGCCAACTGGGAGGTACAGAAAGCAATTTGGCCTTTGGTTTTGGTGAACTGGACCATACCTGAAGCTAATGAGTTGGGACTGACCAGACCAAGAGGGGCTACCTAGGGGCCTCACGCTGACTAGTCTCAGAAGGAATGATGGTTAAGGTCGAGAACCTAGAACCCTAAGGCTCAGGGGGGCTTCCAGGTTGACAAGATCATCTGCTCTTGGGACGGTATACATGTCCCTTGGACATGGAAGTTCCACATTGGAAACCCTCCCAGACCTCATCCTGGGAGTCTTCATTTGTACGCTTTTCTTGCTGTAATAATCTATAGAAGCAAAGATGATAGACTCTCTGTGAGATTCTACACATCGTTCCAGTGAATTACCAAACCCAAAGGAGCAGTATGGTCACAGAATCTGTCAACTTGGCAGTCTGAAGGATGTGTCAGTCTCACTTGTGAACTCTGACCTAGCTCTGGGTGACAAGGGTTGGAAAGAGTGCTGCCTGGGTGGCTGGTGATGAGGATGGAGAAATAGGAAGGGAGGGCTGAATCTAGATTCTTACCATACACTTGGCAACAAAGTTGAGATTTATCATGTTGTCTCTTATTTCACGCAAAAGCAGAATCCAGAAATAGGCCCAAACATACAGGGCAACCAATTGTCAACCAACATTCAAAGGTAGTGCAACAGAAAGGGCAGTCCTCCGACAAATGGTGCTGAAACACTTGCATTACTATATGCAAAAACAAAGCCAAGACCTTGACATACCCTGCTCACCTTTCACAAAAATTAATCCAAAATGGATCACAGACTAGAAAACAAATAAGATAACTTCAAAGAAAATCTCTGTGACCTTCAGTGAGTCAGAGATTTCTTATATAAAACATCAACATTAGAGAAATGACTGATAAGTTGGCCTTCACCAAAATTAAGAACATCTGACCTTCAAAAAGCAATGATACGGATATAAAAAAATTAAGTCAATGTCTGGGAAAAAAGATTTGCAAATCACACATTTAATGAAAGGTTTATATCCAGCATACCTAAAGCAGAGGGAAATAATTCAATAAAGATAAGCAATTTGGAACAACATTTGATTAAGAAAGGGGAGTTCGTTCAGGGAGTGCAGAGTAAATTACTCATTTATAAACTACTCAATCTCTTCTTACTCTGGGGCTCAGGGTCAGTAGTAAACACAGGCATGCTTGAATTCCAAGACACTGAAATTCTTCCCTAGAACCTAGCTGCTAGTAGTCTAGGGTGCTTGGTTACTATAGCATTAATTCCTGACTCCTGAAAGCATTTCAGTTAGGAGGGCTCAATCCTACCCCAGACCTTATAGAAAAACGAGCCTACTGGTTTCTGAGCATCTCTACCCTTCATGGGTGCAGCCTCTAGAGCACAGAGGTCAGTTAAGTCACCAGGTGGCTTTCTATTCAGACCATCCCATCAGATTTGACTGCTAGTTCTTCCTCCCTGCCCCTCAAGAGGATTTTCTGAAGCCAGACATTTTGTCAAAACCCACACATACTTCTACAAAATGTTAAAAGGTCAAACGAATCAATCATGTCTAGCCCCAAGAACTCTGCTTACTCAGCAACCTAGGCATTTTCCTGTAATTGCCCCGTAGGGAGCGATCACTCACCGTAATCACAGGTAGGCTGAGCACTGGTGTCTGAATACGTTGACTGCAAAGTGGTTTCAGATCCTTGGACAAAACCTAAACATAGGCACAAGAGTGGTTAATTCCCCAAACAGTCACAAGAGCATTACAACAGACCACCAGCCTCCAACACGGCAGGCCTTACCCTCTGGAAAGCCATAAAAAATTGGACTCTAACTCATGTAACCCCATGTGCTTGCTTCAGAGTAGAAATGTGCTCCATAGTTTTCTTGGCTGTATTCTTTACAGAAACAGACTGCCAGGCATGTCTTCTAGGGCTCTGCTGGTGGGTTCAAGTCTTCAACCATGAATCACTCCTCCAAAATACAAAAATACTAACAGAAAGCAGGCTAGGTTTAACTTGCTACAACCACCCAAACCAAACCTACATGTAACACAATAGAACAATGCTCCATAGGATTTTCTTGGCTGGAACTAGAATACTGGTGCAGCACTGCAGGATTAACATTGGGTCGCAAGGTCAACAGTTCAAATCCACCATCACTGCTTAGAAACACTATACGGGGACGCTGTGAGTCGGAACCAACTCGAAGGCACTTTAACAACAACAATCTTTATGGAAGCAGTTCACCAGGCCTTTCTTCTGCAGTGTCGCTGGGTAAGTTCCACTCACCAACCTTTAGGTTAGTAACTGATCACAAACCACTTGCACCACCCAGGGACCTTCTTGCTATACCAGAGGTTACAAAATTCCTAAACACTGAGCCAATCATCTATTCTGATGACTGAGTATCCAAATTATCATTCCATTAACTAAAGCTAATAGTTCCATCAAATCACAGAGAAGTGCCCATCTCTAGTTCAAACAAGGAAGAAGGTTATTTTTAAACTACATTATTAATACAAATAATAATTTCCCTTTCCCCCACAATTCTGAAACACAAACTGCTTTGCTTTTTTGGGGGGCACTTTCCCATTTAAAGAACAAAAAGTGGATTATGACATTACTTCTTAAAATTAATTATTTGTAGCTCTGGTTTGGTGCTGTAGGATAAGCACTGAACTGCTAGCTACAAAGTTGGTGGTTCAAATCAACCAGCTGCTTTTTGGAAATCCTATACAGGGTCACCTCAACGACACTTAACAACATAACATGCTTATAAGGAAAAATAATTATATATAATATTTCCTGTTTTCTCAACTCATAAACTATTTCTCAACTTAAAAGGATTTGGTACTAAGGAAAAAAAAAAACTTGAACCTGTATCAGAAACCGCTATTAAACTTTGTTGCTGTTATTAAGTGCCATCAAGTATGTTCCAACCCACAGAGACCCTGTATAGGGTTTCCAAGGAGTGGCTGACTTTGCAGTCCAGCGCATCAACCCACAGTGCCACACCAGGGCTGACATGGATGATTTCGACTCACTATGACAGAGTATTATTGCTTGTTAAAGTTTGAGACTGTTAGTCTTTACAGGAGGAAACAGCCCATCCTTCTGCCACAGAGCAGCTTGGTGGGTTTGACCCACAGACTTTATGGTCAGCCCAACGTTTTAACCCACTGGGCCACCAGGGCCCCTGTTAAACCAACTTGTTGTTGGCTAAATGCCATCGAGTCAGGGTTTCTGAGTAGCTGGTGGGCTTGAAGTGGTGACCTGTGTTCACTTGAACCGCCGACAGACACTGCAGTTCAAACTGACTTTGCAGTCCAGTGCATTAACCCACAGCACCACCACCAGGTAGTAGTGATTAATTCAAGTGCTTAAAAAAGACCTTTTAGGACTTCCGGTAAGACCATGGACTAAGCAGGTATACTACATGGACCCTCTACAACAAAGACACAAGAGACAAAATAAAATAGACACAGATGAAAATTCTGGCTCCCTGAACTTCAGAAGAAAGGTTACAGAGGTGGATGATGGAGTACTTGCTGGGAGGAGAGGCCAAGCAGGGGCAGTGAGATAGGGTGACTCACTGACCAGAAGCAGCTCCACCATCTTGTAAGCAGCTTTAGCAGCAAAGGGAAGCCTGGCAGAGCAGATTCCCATGGGCGACAGGAAAGGCAAGATTTTTTTTTTCCCCTACCCGCAGCACAGACCCTGCTCTCAGGTTGGTTGGGAACCACGCCAACGTGAGGTGGGGGTTAGCTGTGCTGCTTTGGTGACAGGATTCAGGTGGGCTTGGCTCCAGACCTACAGAACCCGCAGAGCCACCAGAGCAGCATTTAACCAATCACCCTGTGGTCCTCACAGACACTGACAGCAGCTCCATCCCGAGTGCCCTAACCATAGATAAAACTGAAGAACTCTACCTGGTGCCTTAGGTCTTCCTGAGATGTCCAAATTCTAAGCACTGATGATTAACAATTGTTCAAAGACACATTAAAAGCATTCTTGCGAGTTCACCTGTGGGGCAGTCTCACAATGTCTTTTCCACTGTTTTCTCCACTAGCTTTGGGAAACCTCTTCATTCAACAGTAGGGTCACAAGCAAAATGACTCAAGACTTGAGTGATTTTTAAGTACAATGGCTACAACTGGATATCAGAGACTGTATACATGCTTAGATGATAATATGCAAAATTTTTATAGTATTCAGAAGTCCAGGATGTATTCAGTTGCCAGCGAGTCAATCCCAACTCATGCTGTCCCTATGTGTGTCAGCACAGAACTATGCTCCACAGAGTTTACAATGGCTGATTTTTCAGAAGTACATAGCCAGGACTTTTCTCTTCAGTGCTGCTTGGTGACCTTGAACTGCCAGCCTTTTGGTTAGCAGCCAAAGCTCCTTCACAGTTAGCACTACCCACGCCCTGATTCTTCCCATCAGCCCTTCGGAGTTCAGTGGCCAACACTACCTGACCCCATGTTCCCCAAGGGAGCATTCTACTTCACAATACTGCTTTCTAGGGCAGGCCATCTTCAGCCAGTTATGACTCCCATTACATATTAAGTTGGTGTCTGGCTCATGAATTGTTCTCTTTGAGGTGCCACAATAAAACGAGGCAGTTAGTGATCCCTTAGAACAAAATGTCAGCCCATAGAGTCATGACGACTGGCCAGTCTGACATCTTTTCAGCTCAAGGATATATAAAGCGACTCACCTTATCCTTTTCCTTTTTAAAAAGGGAAATCTAGAAAACCACCGGGATCAGGTTGCCTCCAACCTCTAATATCGAAGCCCAGAGTAGGGTGGTAATTAGCTTCCAAGATGGCCTTCAGAAATTATTGCCTCTAAATTTACATGGTCCCCTCTCAAACCACAAGGGCTGGCCAGGTAAGCCATAGAACACAACAGGACTGACCAAACTTACTTTCTGTGGCTTCCGCCTTACTCTCTTGGATCACTGAGACTGGGGGAAGTCAGCCCCGTGTGCTGAGGACACTCCAGCGATCCCACGTATGAGTAGTCCATGCCACGAGAAGCCACAGTAACATTGAACTGAATCACTGAGGGAGCTCACACTAGCTGGTGTGAGCCCTCTGGCCCCAGTCAAGATCTCAGATGATGCCAGTCAGACTGACTCCTATAAAAATGGTTTTGGGGTATCTGAGCTCCTCTGACTTCTCAAGGGAAAAGGAGACTCAAACAACTCAATGTTACCTTTCTCTTCCTATCTTCGCCTTCGTGTGAGCGCTGCTATTTTTCACCTTCGCTCGGTCTGCTCACAGGACTTTCAGGACCAAGAGATTCCTGGCCAAGAAACAACAGCAGAATCATCTCATCCCCCAGTGGGTTC